TGCACTGTTAGGTAGCGTGTTAGCGAGTTTCTAGGCACGTGAGTTACAAGTTATTTTCTGAGAACCAATGGGTAGAAGGAATAAGCGGTGATACTCGTAGTTTACTAATTTCATATTTATTAACATATGGAGTGAATAAGATGTTAATTAAGTTCACTCAGACAAGACTGGACCACTTAAGTTTTACTTTACCATTCATAAAATAGATCTTCAATTACTTATTACATCTTTAAACAACTTCAATTACTTATTACATCATTAAACAATCATTATATGATTTCATTGTCAATACAGATGGATATATGACACACTTGACAATGTCCCAAATTAACGTATAACATCATGTTCTCCCGGCATGAATAACATGGCACTTTCCCGTCAGTTGATGTACTCAACTCACGTACATTTTAATTTATAATTTCTATTTTATAATTAATTGATACATGATGGCTCGATTTGGCTACTGAAGCACTTAAGCAATTGATCAGTGAATAAACCAGGGTATTTGGAGACACATTATGTACTACAATACTATTTATTAAGTTCTGATAAATATGCTACAATATTATTTACTTAGTGTTCAAGACAGATCCTGTGAAAAGCACTAACCCTCTTAAGCAGTGACAACAAAGGTGCTTAAAGGCCCGTCCACACGATCGAGCAGTGCCCTGCGGGCACGCGCTAAATGCCCATAATCAGGCAAAATTGGCGGGCAAACCAGCAGAGTGCCAGTGCCCATCGTTGAGCGAAATCATGGTCCGCCTGCCTGGTGGTGGTTTGCTGCCTGATTTGGAGCGGCAACTCTGAGTACAGCAAACATGATACGTATATGTTCCCCGCTCGGTCCTGATGTCCAGTGTATAACCAAATAAGCTTATGCAATGTACATTATTGGCATGACAATAAACGGGAGATTGTTTATGTATTATGTAATGAGGACATTCGTGTGTGTTCTTCGTTCCTGCCGCTCTCCTCACTCTAGTCCCATAGCTTCCTGTTTATGCATATCATAATTCTAACATTATTCAATGAATTTTTATGTACTACAAATCTCACCTGCAAGTAATCTTCCTTGAGTACTTCATACATGGCCTGACAAGTTGCAGGTATTATGAGACAGACTTTGTTTTGATATCCTCATTCTATACTGAAGTGACGTGTAGGTGCACCCAGTTGAAAGATATATGAGCATTGCCTCTAGACGAGCCTCTGCAGATATACTCTCCCTCATATTGGTATCCTGTTTTTTTATATATAGTTCCACTTTCGCTAAAGTTTGTAAAAGGTGTTGGGGTCCATTCTCATGTAATTGGTGAAGTCTTGCTCATGTCCATCTTGCATTTCACGTAAAATCGTGGCATGACTTCCCAATACTTTTCTTCGACTTAACCACTCTTTGCACCATTCCCTTTCCTGCATTTGGTTCATCTTTTTGCACATGGCAGCAATTATTATAGTGCACAACGCTATGCTCTTCGTTTTAACTGTCTGGCGATTATTCCTGCGACACAGGATGGTGATCGTACCGCACCCGCCACTGCCGACCACCTACTAGCTACCGGCGCCCGACTATGACTGCCGCCAACCACCCCCGTGTGTACAACAACACACAGGAAGCCCGCCGGGCACTGCTCGATCATGTGGACGGGGCTTAAGAGATGGTGAGTGTTCGCAACATTGTTAGAGAGAGCAGGAACAATTAGCTGTTACCACTCTGTAAATAAGAGAGGAATATTCTTTTTACTTTTTTACTTTTATCCTCTTCACCACTGATTGGCTCGTTAGCAGCTTGGGCAATCAATCACGTCTCTGTTATGCACTGTTGGCAGGTACTGGGCAGGTACTGTACTACGAAACACCAGCTCATCTGGGATTGAGTTGGATTTTGGGGGCAAAATTAATTATTTTTCAATAATGTTTTATTAATCCAGCATAAAATGAAATTGCATGCACACACTCAAAGGTAGTTGTGTATAGTATCTAAATATAATTCACATTATATTCCTATAATTCATTCACCGTAATCTGTTTCATAATACAGTATATTACAATACTGTATAGTAATTATAAGAGACTTCCGAACTGCGCGATTATTTCAGATTCATTCCGAATTCAAATTAAATTATTTTTGAGAAAAAAAAAATACATACAGTGAACCCTCACTTTACGCGGTTAATTCAACCCACGGCGGCCCGCGTAAAGTGAGAAACGCGTAAAGTGAACAACATAACATATGGGATTAATTGAAATAGAGACCGGGCCGATCCCCAAACTCCACTTTTTCAGACACAATACCTACGTTGTAGTAAAAATAACTTCTTAATTTTATGATGGTATGCACACACAATTAATAATTAAGAGAAATATCAATAATATTATGTTTTTTAACACTTACATTAGTAGAAAAGTTGGCTGGGCACACGGGGATGGGGGCAGATTATTGGCCCTCACCTGTATCACTTGTATCAATTGTATCACTATCCACCACAGAGGCTATCAGGGCCTCTTTGTAAAACCCCTCAAAGTCCATATAAGTCCATATCCTCACTATCACTGACTTGGGCCGGCTGTGGTGGGTGGCAGGTGAAGAACTCGGTAATGTTTTGATGACTGGGCGACCTTGTGCACACCCTGCTCGCGCCGCTCTCCGCTTAAAAGGGTACACACACCGCGGAAAGTGAGCATTCCGGTTTCGGCAGGGTACCGCGTAAACGTGGAAACGCGTAAAGTGGGACCGCGTAAAGCGAGGGTTGACTGTATTAAGCCAAAATCCGAATTATAATTATCCTAATTAATGAGGGTACAGTTATAGGTAAAATCCTAGACATAATTTGTAAAACATGCCAGATTGACACCACTGTTGCTTGGCTGTGACTACCACCACAACAGCTGAGTCTATGAACAGTGTTACCAACTCTGAAATTGAATTCCCACTAGTTACCAACTCGTATGAGGAAAAAGATAATATAAAATATACTAGTAAATGTGAGGAATCAATCAAAATAATAATAATAAATAAAAATAACGAAAAATTACTCTATTCCCATTTGGCTGCTGGACGACAAATTTTGTCAATCGTTTGACTACACATGAGAGACAGCCGAGAACCCTCACTCCACCCTGCCCCACTTAGTGTGGGGCACATTCTGTATGTAAGATTGTGTGTGCACGTACAGTAGGGTCGGGATATATTGAGAGATAGGGTCCAACGATGTTCGCTATATACTAAATTGCGATATAGAATTACATGTAATCAATGGGGAAAATAGGGTTAGGTTCTGGAGGCCAATAAAAGTGACTAATCTTGACATAAAATGGCACAGTCTAAAGTTAGCAGAATATAAATTGCATTGCTGGAATACTTGCAAGACAGCAAATAATTTGAATACTGTATAAATATCATATTTTTGCACGAGCTAAAATTTTTAGTCCTTTGTACTAAAATGTACAAATAATTGCAAATTTTTTTATGTCTAGTGAAAACTACAGCATGTTTATATTCAAATTAATCACTGTCTTACAAGAATTCCAGCAATGTTAATTATATTCTCTTAAGTCAATTCATTGACATTTTATAAGAGAAAACATAAACTCCCCCTATATGACATCTGAATAAATACCATTAGGTAACCTTGGCCTCGGGCTGGAACCAGCTGTCATAATACATCACCTACCCCTCCGGCAAGATTGAAAGTGGTTTTAGGCTTAGAGTTTTTATCTTATAAATTGTCACAGTCTAATCTTGGCAGAATATATATTGCATTGCTGGAATAATTGCAAGACAGCGAATAATTTAAATATAGACATCATATATTTTGCACAAGAGATACAATTTTATTATTTCTTAAGAGTACATACATTTAAGTACTGTACAGTTTTCAACTCATATATTTTGTTGATTTAGGGGATATTTTGGAGTCTTTCTGACTTTATGGTTTTTTGGCTTTATGTGAGGTCCCAGGAATATAACCCCACGTAAGTTGTGAGTCTACTATAATTAAATTTTTCATTATCCTCCCCGACTTACAACGGGGTTAGGGACCCAAATCCAGGTCGTAAGTCGAAATGGTCGTAAGTTGAAAATTTTTAAATAATACATAGAAAATCTAAAATGGGTGTCTCTTTTTCTTCTCAGCACCACAAACCTCTCACTTTTAAGCTTGCCAGCCATTTTAAAGTGAATTACAAACGAAAATTTTGTCTGTATACCAACGTTGGGACTCGAAAATGCGTAATTTGACAAAATTTGGGTACGACTGAGGTAGGTCGTAAGTGCAGGTGGTCGTAAGTCGAGTAGGTCTTAAATTGGGGAGGAGCTTTATATTGGAAAATGTCCATAATTTTGGTAGTCATGATAAATTTGAAATATTTCCTGCCCGATTTCCCTCCGAAATAAAAAAAAATATCGCTTTACTGTTTATACTGTATAGGAAAATGTCGATAATTTGGTAGCCGCAAAATAAAGAAATCGTTATATAAAGTCGCTTTATATCCTGACCCTATTGTAATCGAGTAAAAAAATAAATAAAGTTACATACTGTATATCTTTCCCAAATTACGAGTTAAAAAATAACCTCACAGCCCTGTAAGGTTAGCTTACCGCGAGTATGTCCCGAGTAGCTATCATTCCCCATACAGTATCTGAACGGTAAATTTTAAATTCCACCACTGTAAAACTGTCCAGAACATCAGAGGTTCCATACCAGTGATCGCCAGAAATTTGGTGGTCGGCTATAATAAAAAGTTTTGAATACAATTTACCTTTCTTGACAGTTTTCTTAGGTGGGGAGTTTGAACTTAAATCTGACAAACCTTCCCAGGTTCAAAATGTCTGCAACCCATGGATTTACGGAGGCCTTTATCATACAAAGTGGCACTACCCACAGACCCTTAATCACCACAATATTTACTAAAAAGTCGTATTTTGAACCCTGACAGAAGTACTGTAGTATGCACCACTTTACAAGATCTATGATGGATGTATAATAAATAACAATCAATGAAGCCATCAAGTTGTTTATTGATAACCTTTCTACACTGGTTGCTGTGTCACTGTGGGAATGCACAGACAAAAGCAGACATGAAGCTAACAAAAATTTAAATTGTGAACATTCAGACAGCTGAGATGCTGGAATCTTAACAGCTTCCGTGTAATGTGCAGGAGACTGAAGATTCCTGTACCACAACCATATGTGCACAACACAGCTGATAGTGATACCAACAACACAGCATGACCATTTTTCTCACTTAACTTGGTAAAGGCTTTTATTGTCCCAGGAAGTTTCCATTGGTTAAGATAGTCTTTTGAGACAATCTAGTTTAGTTCATGCTTTATGAGTCACAATGTGACCTATAGTTATACAGGACTAACGTTAGATTCTTGTTGGTAATTATAATGCACACAGTCCATAAGTTTCATCAAAAGTCCTTGATAGAAACAAGATTACATTAAGAATTATTTAGTTTACCAGCTTTATTTACAAGTAAATTAACAAATCATTTATACTACAAAATATAATACAGAACAAATTTTTTAAATAATCATTATTTCTGATCAACTAATAACACCCTGACATGAATGTCAATCTTGAAACAGATGCATAAATATTACATAAATAAAAGACTAGATATCTATTAAGATCATCCTGGAATGCAATATCATTTTCTTGGTCAGTTGCAGCATTATGATAATCTGAAAATGACAGTAATATTTCCGCTCTCCCAGTACAGAAACACTGAATCACAAGATTTATATTAAATATAAATTCTTATTCACATGCACACCTCTCACTCAAAGATTGCAGTTATGGGTTCATTAAATTACAAAAAGGAATATCTTCTTCATTTTATGACTATACATGTGCAAGAAATCAAAATTAGAACTGCAAGATATACTTCTGATAAAATGTTGACTGGACAAAATTACTGCCAGGGGTCAAGATGAATGCTCCTGAAACATGCTAAGATGAGGCTTTGAAAACTATATGCAGACTATAGCACAATATGTAGTTAATGTTCCTGGTAACTACACTATACCAGTTAATGGGTTTCAAATGCAGCTTAGGCATCCAAACATTGCAGTGTGTCAGAGTTCATACTACAAAACAAGACACTCACATTCTACTTCTACATTTTGACCTTCCAAATTTTTCTTCCAAGAGATCTGATCTTCATAACAACCTATGTTTTAGTTACCTCACCCATGCACATCTTACAGATTTAACACACAGGATGCCTCAAAATTCTGTCCTTGTTTACACTGGAAGACCAGGCTGCCACCTGCTATTATGGAGAAAATCTATCAATTGAATTTCTAAACTTGAAAAATCAGTTGATGTCTACAACCTGTCCTCACTGAACCTACCACAGAGCTGCTGCTGTTATTAGGTACTGTACTGCAAAATAAAGTGCTAAAAAATTTTAAATGACCCACATTCCCCATTGTCACTGATAGTTTACAACTGTAATACCTCATCACCATAAAAGTTTGATTTTCTACAATATATGAAGGAAGTATAAGCATATACTGTATTTCAAGCTTCACTATAGAGCATCCCTCTAAAGAATGAGGAATTTATGTCTTGATTCAGAAAGTTGTAGCATACCCATATATTCTCAGAGTAAAGAAATGGGCACTGAGGGAGAGAGGAAGTTTGGTAGAGCATACTAAATAACCTTACTGTTTAATCAAAGCAACACAATTTTCTCACTTTTACAATTTGTCTAATGTAAAAAAAAAAAAAAAAAAAAATCTTAAACTTCTCACTTATAAGCCCACTTCTGAACCCTGAGGGAGCTATTTTTTTTCTCACCTTTATAAAACATGAGTGGGTATATATTTTTCAGTCAACTCTATTGAGCCTAAAAGGATAAGATCATTTCCTGATAATGAATACAGGTAACTCCTTCATCAACTCTGCAATAAGGACACTAAACAATGTATGTACTGTGCATACTGTAAATGATAGTATAGTTGACAAAAATAAATTTTATTAAATCTCAAGTGTACCACATAATTAAACACATTTTTCCATTCCAAGTAATAATTAAACCGAGAGTGATGTAAATAATGTACTCTCAACTACAAACAGTATAAGTAATTTCTATATTTCAATGTAGTGTTTACACAGCAAGTTGTCATCCAGAGTATTACACTGCTCTCCTTCCTTGCCTGTCAGTGTCCACAGCAAAATTACCAGGAGAACAGTATTAACAGTACAAGCTATAAACAAAATATTTCATACATTTATTCAACTGCCTAACCTAACCTAACCTAATTAAGGTCATTTGATGTAAATGCAATCCTCGTTAAACATGGTTCTCAACTTCTAATTTCAGTGTTATAATAATCTCTGACCGAAAGCAAAAAGGGCTAATGTCAAAAAATGCCAATTTGGACCGTGAAACCATGAAACCCAGGTTTCATGGGCCAAAGTCTAAATTGGCATTATTTTACTTTGGCCCTTTTTGCACTCAGCCAAAGATTATGATCCAGTATATTCAAAATAGAAGGAAAACTTAAAATAAAATTTAAGTGAAGGAGTTATTGATAGAGGTTCATCAATGTTATCTGGAAGATAACTGACAGAACTACACTAGCTAATCCTAGATATTTTGCACTTTTAAATTAGTCTTTTCATCCGAAGTAGATTTTACTTCACTAAGTTGCTTGTGTATCGAGATGAAAGAGTACAGTACGTACAGCACATGTAACTGGCAATTGGAGTAGGAGAAGTTACCTGTATTATACACAGCTACATCATGAGTCTCTTTCAATTGACAATACTAAATTCAATAAATCCTTGGCTGGGAACTAAAGCTGTATTACAAATATATTGAGAAGCTGTTTCTGTTCATGACAAATGTTATGATACATACATGGCTAAAACACAGCAACAACTTGAAATATAGTAAAGGAAAGCATGCCTCAGGGTATTCTCTGATCAAGCCTCACTTTCAGTGACAATGGAGAAGGTAAAGGAAACAGCGAGCATTGGGGTAGTCTCTACCACAGGCCGGGCAAGGCAGAAGCAGCTGGTCAGGATAGGTGTTCAGAGCTGACTGCTCGACCACGTAGAGCGAGGGGAATCTGCAGAGACTGAAAGGAAGAAGAAGAAACAAACAAAAAATATTTATTAGACATTATTGAACAATGCACACTTCAAATAACCATGTGTATTTTTTTAACATGATTAGCCCACCAGGGCACAAGTCAATGAATGACCCACATCGGTGCCTGAAGGCAAAAATACAATAATAATAATAATAATAATAATAATAATAATAATAATAAAATTAAAATAAAGAAAATTTAATAAAAAATTATAAAATATATTAAATATAAATATACAGTAATATAATACTACTACTAATAATAATTATAAGAATGATAATAATAATAATAATAATAAAAGATCAATAGTGAGAAACAATATATGTATGTACAGTATGTTGTGTTGTCAAAGTATGAGAAGCAATTGAAACCCTGCAATTGTGTGTAATGAGACAAAGTCAGGTCAGCAACCTGGGACTTGGCCACAATTTATGTGATGCGATATGGCAGCAGGGTCTACTATGAGACAACACATTATGCTTCCAATATCTTCCCAGGTGGTAGTACTGTACTTCTTTCTCTCTCTCCCTCTCTCGCTACTTCTTTTAATAATGCACTAATTTCCCAATGCTTGAGCACTCTGACATCATCTCTACCTCTGTGCAATCTCCTTGAAATGATTTTGTGCAAGCAAAATAATGAAAGCTGTACATAAATATTTTTACCACACAATATAACATCTGTATTTCTTAAAAATAAACATTCATTATTTTGATATTCACAATTCAATATTTCTTGTCAATATAATTCTTCTCACAAAACACAACACTATTATTCTCAAAGCCATACCTCCAAAAAGAAAGTTTTTCATAAACATCTAAAAATTTATAAAAATACAAATAAATACTGTACATACAAATACACATGAAATGCAATATGAAATACAATTTAAAGGTACAGTAGGATCTCAAGTTCTAGATTCGCGATTCATATGTTTCACGTCACCTTTAAAATTTCCAGCCTCTCAAGAATAGAGATTATGATCACCAGTTTTGCAAATCATTGTTGAGTGGACAGCGCCCATTGTTATGGTCATCCGTCGACATCCGAGTGTTTTTTGTTTACGGCTTAACGGCAGTTAGTTTGAATGAGCTAGCGGTGCAGTGACCTTGGATTATATGGCCCATTGTGCTTACGTTCGCGAGATTCTTGTTTAACTGTTAACGATTCTTGTGCATTAGTGATTCTTGTGTACAGTCATGCGCTGGTTAACGTCTGACCGAACAATGTCCGATCGCATATACGTCCATGCCCCCCACAAAAAAAAAAAAATCCGTGACGCCTGCTGGACCACCACTCCACGACCCCCTGACGGAGACACGATGATCCTCCCCATACTGGTCAGATATTATGTGTTAAAGGAATATGCTTCCTTCCTTAGGCTTTTTTTGCCTCCAGGTGTAATGTTAACCTACATCTATTGAGGATAAAATCTTTCACCTACAAATTGACAATAACACATTTGCTGTAATCAGACATATCTAGTTGCCTCAACAATTGCACCCCCAGTTGCAATTGGGGTTGCAATTTCAAATTCTGTGGCATTACTAAGAATAGTGAAGTCTCTGGTGCACTCTAAGATTAAGAGAGAAAACGGAGGACTCAGGCGTCCTGATGTGAGAGAAAACGGACTCGTATGATGGGGGACCAAATAAAAAATGCATAGCTACATGTTTTGTGGACTACAGTATTAAGTGTACCCTTTTCATCACTTTGTAATAAACCTAGCCATGCCTATGTGTGTTTATGATATTTACCATAACATTAAATATATATTTAGTGGGTATAAATGGTCGTAAAATGGGAAACTTGGGGTTGGGTCTTGGGTGCCTGGAACCAATTAGAATAAATCCCATAGGTTCTGTACTTTCGTTATCGGCGGGGTCCCAATTAGGCGCATAACCAAGGGATGACTGTACTGTACTGTATATACTTGTGACACTGGCCAGTTGCTTCTGGTGTTATGGTACAGGGGTACCAAGTGACAGCACTAGGATCCCGCTTCCTCTATCAAGGAATAAACAATTAAAATTTAAATTGAAAAAAAAAACATTCAAATAATGGGACCTAGCGAACCTAAATGGCCCTAGAGCGGGCACAGTCACGTATGCATCGCGTATTCTTATAGATTGTGCTGCCAGGCGTACGTTATCTAGTGAATTTAGTCAATATTGTACAGTAACAATGGACCTAAGTGCAAACCTGTATTGTACATGTACTAAATGATTACGGTACTAAAATTGTTATGTCTATTGCAAATATAGCTTGTTTATACAGGTATTCAAATAAATTACTATCTTACAAGAATCCCTCCAATGTAAGTTATATTCACCCAGGTCGTTTGGGTGGCAAATTATGAGAAGAGCTTAGTCACTCTTAAGTAATGATAAATAAACACGCAGGCAGGCCTTCAGCGCCAACTGTCAAATCTTATCTCAAATAAATAAACAAACAAACGCCAGACATTCTGTCACCTCACCTCCCGCCCCCTCCCTCCCAGACAAAAGATTGGTGATTTCTTTATGTTTATTTTATATAATATCTCAGACTAAAGTTAGGATAATATAATTTGCATTGCTGAAATCCTTGCAAGACAGAGATTAATTTGAATATAAGCGTCATATATTTTGCTCAAGATATAAAAAATGTAGTACATTAGTGTACAATACTGTAGTACATTTTATAAAAAGTTTTTCAACTGTATCTTTGGGTAGATTTACATAAATTTCTTCATTTATTTTCATCCATTTACATGCACACACCATATTAAAAGAAACGTAAAATAAATAAATGACCTTAGTGCAAAGCTGGAGTGCACATGTACTAATTTGATTACTGTACTAAAAGTGTTATGTCTAGTGCGAATTACAACATGTTTATATTCAAATAAATCAGTATCTTACAAGAATCCCAGCTATGTTAATTATATTCTCCTAGGTCATATCACTGGCATTTTAAAATGAGAGAAGCTTAGTAGGACTGTTAAATAAACACACAGAGACCTTCGCCTCAAACTTATCACCTCAACCCCCCCACCCCCCCCAACCCCTCAGTGGGTTGGCGTAGCTGGCTCCGTCAGTCCCCCAACCCCCCCCCTCAGCTAGGCTTTTAGGCTTACAGTTTTTATCTTATATAATATCTCAGACTAAAGTTAGGAGATTATAATTGGGATTGCTGGAATCCTTGCAAGACAGCCAATAATTTGAATATAAACGTCATATATTTTGATCAAGATATAAAAATTTTTGTACATTAGTGTGCAGTACTGTAGTACATTTTATAAAAAAGTTTTTCAACTGTATTTTTGTTTTTCAACTGTATTTTTGGGTAGATTTACATAGATTTCTTCATTTATTTTCATCCATTTACATGGACACACCATACTAAAAGAAACGTAATAGAAATAAATGACCTTAGTGCAAAGCTGGAGTGCACATGTCCTAATTTGATTGTGGTACTAAAATTGTTTTGTCTAGTGCAAATTATAGCATGTTTATATTCAAATTAATCAGAATGTTACAAGAATCCCAGCAATGTTAATTATATTCACCCAGGTCATTTCACTGGCTTTTTATAAGAGAGAAGCTTAGTCACTTAAGAACTGATAAATATACATGCGTTAGACCTGGGCCAACTGTCAAACATACTACCTCCCATCCCCCCACGCCCCCTCACTCGCTCTCACCCTCTCTCTCTCCCCCATCTGCCCGCCGTTGCTGGAATCCTTGTAAAACAGTGAATAATTTTAATATAAACGTCATGTATTTTGCACAAGAGATAAAAATTAATCACCTGTATCACAACAGTAGTGAATTAAGAGTAAAAGTGTATATGTACGTATATAGTATTCCACATACACGTAAGCATAGATACAAAGTTTATGTGATGATTGGACAACGTCCATTTCGGTTAACGTCACGTTTCCAAGAACGTATCTAGGATGTTAACCGGCGCATGACTGTATTAGCGATTCTTGTGAATTAGTGATTCTTGTGTATTAACGATGAGTGAGGTGCGTAATGTAAACGTCGGGAGCGGTTTTGGTGGTAACGATGGCCTTAGAGAAAATCAACAAGGAAAGTCCCAAGCCAAGCGTGACTACTGTAATGGGGTCAAGAAGAGGAAATACACCCTAGAAATGAAACGAGAGATGCTTGAAATGATCAAAAGTGGTGATCGTACCTATAAAATCATGCGTAGGTTCAACTGCCCTGAATCAACCACACGTTTCCTTAAGAAGAACAAAGAAGCCTTAACTGCTTCTGTGAATGTATTCTCAAGATTTTCTAGGAACAGGACATTCTTCGATACTTCACAACGAAACCTACTACTTGTTATCACAGAACATTACCTTCACAAGTGGGTAGAAAGAAGAAACTGTGATCAAGGCGACTTGTCTGGGCCACAGATAAAGCATCAAGCACGTGTTTATTATGCTGCCATTGCACAGAAAAAATGCGTTAACTCTCCACCGCCATTCAATGCTTCTGTTGGTTGGTTGGCTGCCTTTAAGAAGCGTTATGAAGTCAAGTTTGCCCACTACCATGGGGAACGTGCATCGGCTGATGTCATAGCAGTTTTATTCACAGCTAATGCTAGTGGAGATTTCTTGATGAAACCCTTGGTTGTTAACCGTGCTGCCCGTCCCAGATCCTACCGTCTTGCCAATATGTCGCAGCTCAATGTTTATTGGATGTCTTATAAGAAAGTTTTGGGTTACAACGTCTTTATGCACCAATTGATTTGACAAGCATTTTGTTCCCGACGCCCACCAGTACTGCCGGAGGAAGAATATTGACTTCAAAGTGATCCTGGTGATGGATAATGCTCCTGGACACTCGTAAGTTTCTAATTGGATGCCACCCTAATGTTCAAGTTATCTTCCTTCCTCCTAACACCACATTGCTTCTGCAGCCAATTGACCACGAATTCATCAGTAATGTTAAACTGTTCTATCAGTCACTCTATAAAGACTTTCGTCAACAGACAGACTCATTAGTTGAGTTACAGCAAATTGAGGCAGAACTCTCTGATAGTGACCAGGCTTTACCAGCTAACCAGGAGGAGGAGGAGTTGGTAGATGACCTGACTCCTAGCACCTCACCTCACCACCCCACAACAGTGAAGTGTTATCAGTTTGTGAATTATGGAAGAAATATAATATTAAAAATGCAGTGGACAGAATTGTTGAGGCATGGCATAAGATTAATGTTGCAACAGTGCTACACGTATGGAAGCCTTTGTTCGCTAACTCCAAGATAATTGAGGCAGAGCAAACCGAGGCAAGCGTGGAAAGGCAGTCCGTGGCGGCAACACTTATGGACACAGTGGAAGCAGCGCGGTCAGTCCCAGCACCGGGATTTTCAGATGTTCAGGTTGAAGATTTGCGAGAAGTCGTTGGTCAACATCAGCAGCAACCGACAATTGAAGAAATGTTGGAGGAGGATGAATAACAGGAAGAACAGCAACCAACACAAGAAGATGACATTAAGCCTGGTGAACCTATAACACGGCAGCTGACTGAGTTGCTCACAAACATTGCACGTCTTTGTGAACAACTAGAAGAATACGATACCAGGCCTCATCCTCGGAACCTTGTGTTCTGCCCTTGAGAAGGGCATGGAGGAATATACGGCCTTGTACATGTCCCGTGTTAATGCTCATCAGCAGGCCCTTATAACTCAGTACTTACGCATGGCCCAGCCTGTTAATGCCTTGGCAAATATCACTTTAGGAGATGATGGAACCACCGATGATGATATTGAAGTGCTGGGTGACTTACTGGTGGAAGAGCTGCCTCAAAACTTTAAGGGATTTTATGCTGAAATTAGAGGAGTTGAGGAGGGAGCAGGGAGGAAGCAGTAACCAGCCCTCCCTGTCTTGGAATCCATCAACCAGCCCCATCAAGCATTTCACTGACTCCATCAAGGTAAGTAATTCTACAGTATGAGTGTATATAAATATTATCATCAACAATATGTACAATATAATATGTATGAACACATTACAGCAATGTCATTTTCTTGGTGGGTTGTAGGTCATTATAGGGGGGTTTTGGTGACACCGCAGAACTCATTAGGCTTATTTACATGTATTTCAATGTCACTCATTCCGCGATTTTAACTTTTGCGACGCTAAAACTGGTACCAATTAGTCGTGAAACATGAGATCCTACTGTATGTGCATAATCTTCTGACAGTTGTTTGTTGACTGACTACCCACCACTACAGACCACCCAACATTAGCTAGCCACATGTCTATTTTCACCAATCTTATGATATTAAAACTTTAATAAAAATTAAATAAAAAATAATAATAAAAGACAAAAATACTTCATTGCAATTTGGCAATCATTTCATGGGACACAAGATAGAGAACAGTTGAGAGATCCCCACGACGCTTTTGCCTCCCCTACCCACTCTTTGGGCAGACTGCCAACCTGCCTTAACATTTTTTATCTAATGAAAATAATTTTTTTCCACATTCTGTATGAATGATTGTGTGTGCATGTAACAGTAAAAGAAAATGAAGGAAATTATGTAAATCTACCCAAAATTACGAGCTCAGCCTCACCCACTCTGAGTGCTACTGGGTGTGGAGTGATAACTTGACTATGCAATTACATGCCATTACAAATTTTTGTTTTTAACTTACCTCTTTCCGTTTTTCTTCTCCACTAAGAACGGACATGGAACTTGCCCGTTTCATTCTGAAAAATAAAAATTTCTTAAGTATTGTTTACATTCAATATAATCTTGTCTAGAGGTGTTGTTCCTGAAATATAAATATTAATGTCATCACTGCTGAGCCTGCCATACAAATACTGCAAATATATACAGTATAAAGATCCAGTTTACGATATGTGCCAACAACCTGCATAAATGGTGGATATATATATATATATATATATATATATATATATATATATATATATATATATATATATATATATATATATATATATATATATATATATATATATATATATATATATATATATATATATATATATATATATATATATATATATATATATATATATATATATATATATATATATATATATATATATATATATATATATATATATATATATACACACACACACACACACACACACACACACAGTAATTAACACTAAAATATTTATACCTGACCCACAATTGCATGAGAATGTATTCTTACACACTGTTAGTTGCCATGATGCAGTATTACAGATTTATGGGCATAGCCAAATCTATTAGCAATACTGTACTGTACCCCAATGCAAAATAATAAATTAAAAAGATACTGAAATTAATACCACTTACTTCATAACAATCAATTAATACAATTGTTTTGCAACACAAACTATCATAAAGGATATGCATGCTTACTGCAATATAAGGAACATGTACAGTACAGAGAAAGAAACAGTAACATTATTTCTTTCAAAAAATGCTGGATCTTGCATTCCTTAACGCCAAAAGCACAAACACTTACATATTCTGAGCATGCTAAATAAATATACTACAACAACCTCTTCTTACAGCATAATTAGGATAACTTTCTAGTCGTTGAACCTATAACTATACTGTATAGGACAAGGTGCCAATCCATGTCACATGGTATTTTTGTAAAATTTGTGACCTTGCCCTTAGAATTATTAACCTCAAAATGTAGTAGTTCTAGGATTAACACTGTAGCTCCTTCTCTACTGGAGACATACATACATACGTACTGTATATACATACAATAGTTAAAACACATACACAGTTCTATATACTGTAGATGGCACGACCTTATTCCTGTAACCCTGTTCAGTGCAAGTAATAACTGTCGTACCTGATTAATGACCATCCTCCACAGAGGACATGTATATGTGTGTGTGAGAAGATGTATGCTTGTATATGTCACTCCCTGGACTATACTGTATATGTTTTATTTGTTGGTTCCCTTGTTCCATTTCTAGCTTTCTCATTTTCAATTTTCTTTTCAAATATATTTTTCACTGTTGATTACAGCTCATTTTTAGGAAGCAACAAGCAAGACACCAAAACAGCTTAAAAAATACTCAAGACCCACAACATTCACTAATGCATATGTAGCTTAATATTATTTGTGACAATATTCTAAGCATCTCATTCTGTTAGAGAGCTACAATATTAGTAAAGTTGTTAAAGCATGGTGAGATTTATAAATGAAAATGCCAAGAGATGCTACACACAAATGAACAATCATAAACTTACCTTAAACTGATGAAGGAGTGATCTCAAAAACATTGATAATTTGAGAGGCAAGTTTAATTAAATAAATTTCATGATTGGTTTCACATGTTAAAATTTACAGTACAGTACTGTACTGTATAACAATCATAAACTAGTCTGTTTTCCTGTTTTAGTAATATACTCCAACTGAATAACATAAAGTAAATCAATGTACTGTACAATAGTATTACCCCCCAAAAAATCTACTCTAACAAAGCCTTTGGAATAATGTTCTTGTTTGAGTTTAATATCAGAAATTAAATTAAATATCATCATACACAAACTTGAGTTTTGCACAAAATGAGGTAAAAAACGAATGAAATAAATAAAGCAATGTTCTCTTGACTATGATAGGAAAGCAAATCATACCTTGAATCACTGTCTTCACCATCAACCCCAATTCGTCCTCGTAGCTTGTACACCAGCTTGGCACTAGATCGTCGCATGGTAGCTCGGAACTTGGAGAATGAGCTGGCCCTCCGAAGACGACCATACTCATACTACATGGCAAACAGTGCATCACATGTCTGACTCATCTCCCTCACAAGTGATAGTGGTGGTGGTGGTGGTCAGGATATTGGAAGTGATCATATTTCTTGCAAAAATTTTTACGACTAACGTTTGGATAATGTACTGTACTGTACTGTATTCCTATTCATATCCCAGTTTAAGAACCAAGGTTAAGATATTGTCACCACATGGGAGTTACTGTACAGTAAATGTGCAGTAAACTGAATTCTGTCGTTATACATTTCTTTCTGAATAATATATGAATCTGATTCTAATAAAAGTAATGAATAAGATTTTGATACTGTACAGTACTGGCATATCTATGCAAAGTAATGTGGTAAATTCATCTGAGCATTCATATAATATTAAGACATCCATGAATGGGTGAATTACTGTACAGTATGCTAAACACCCCCACAAAATCACATGTACAGTACTGTACTACATACTTCTTTACATTCATTCAAGCTCTACTCTTCTGAAGCATCACCCTGATCTTCCCTTACTTCTACATTAACTTACCTCACTTAAATGTGGTTGTAGTCACTCATCCTACATCCAATCATTTTAACTCTGAACTTCATGTTGTCTTCCAGATATTTTCTAATCCATCTTCAGTACATTGTTAATTAAATATGGACCTTATTTAACCCTTTGTAGGGCAGCGCCACACTAAGATATTTTATTATGGCTAATGCCCGACAATTTTATTCAGCATAAGAGAAACCAATGCCCTACAAGGGATTAAATCTTTTCATCTTGTGTAACCATATAAATTTTATAAATAAACAAATTTCGTAAAATTTCTTTTCTTGCAAGTTTTCATACATTCTTACATAATTTTATATACAGTATTGTAGTTATGATGACAACATTCACATCAGAACTATACTGTACAGTACAAGTAATATATCAATTATCCAGCAAGCTACAAACTGGTAACAAGCTGTGTACTGCGCACATCATTGTCAACCTTAAAATCTCTTTAATTCATATTACGCTATATAACATTAAAATCCACCGCGCTTGTAGAGTCTCAGAAAACTCTAAACGTTGGTAAAGGATAACTCATCTAATGTATGTTTATAACTCATCTAATGTATGTTTATAACTCATCTAACGTATGTTTATAACTCATCTAATGTATGTTTATAACTCATCTAATGTATGTTTATAACTCATCTAATGTATGTTTATAACTCATCTAATGTATGTTTATAACTCATCTAATGTATGTTTATAACTCATCTAATGTATGTTTTATACGAATTGTACCCAGGTACGCTCATATAATATTAAGTGTATGTACTCATAGCATTAAGGAGAACTCAAGGTATCTATAGGATGATTGGGAAGGTCCAATTGATACGGACTAGTGTACTATAAGGGATAAGGGTAGATCGTGTTTGAAGGGCATTCTATTTACGTCTGTGAACGATTAGTGAACATAGCTACCGCAGGTATCAGATGAAAATATAAAAGAATATTAATGTGGAAAAAGGATAAATGTATCAGACCTAAGTGAAGTGTTAGAAGTGATCGAGAAACTATACTTCAAAGAAAATATCTTGTATGCCTCGATGTGAGCTTGATACACCTCGTTATCTCATGTGACGAATAACCACTAACTATGCAATGATCAGAGAATCTTATGAATGTGTTCAAGGGGTGCAATGTATGAGGGGAGGATCTCTAAATACAGATCGAAGTAAAGTGGATATACCCACGCCATGAAAATACGACGCTCAGCTTTTGTTCGATGTTAGCGCCTTTTCTGCCCCGGGCTACAGTTTGAGTTAAACCAAGCTAATTTAAACACAACAAACGATTGGCACCAAAATTAAAGATATTTTGTGTTTAAAAATAAATGGAGTTTGTACATTTCCAAAGTTTGGAGACACAGATAATCAATATACTTGATACTACCTGTTACAGTACAGTATAGAACAAAAGAACAGTTTTTATTGCAAGCTATCCATTATTCAAGTTCTTTAATTTTTATTCCATCAAGTGAAACAAACTACTGAATAAATAGAGCAAAGCAACAAGATCCTCCTTTACTCTGAATTTCATTAAAACATGTGTTCAGTCTGAAACTATTCCCATTTGTACTGAAAGAATTCTTTCATATCTCAGTAATTTTTCCTCAAACCATTCATTCATGAACATTTTTACAAACACACATCATAATAGCGTTCCACACAAAGAGGTAAACTACACAACTACAGTCTCTTCCCTTTCATTATTTTCTCATCTTAAATTTCACAGAATTAGATGATAGGGGATTAGTAATTTAATACTACATAACCCTTTGCTGGGTGAAATGAAACTGAGATGATACACAAAAGGACAATCATGACAGATATGAGGAAGGAATGTTATGATGAAATAGGTAATGCTTTGTAATCCAAACCCTTGTGACATGAGTTTGAGCCCATGGCCTTATGCATAGTTGGTGGATAACTATAAATACTGTACTGTATACAGTACTGTGCTATGAAATGTTGAGCTGGTCACTATCATGCTAAGGTACCACACAAACTAACCCCACATTATTCTTATTGAAAACCTGCTTTTCCATGATTAGTAAAAAAAATTATTGGTGTGCCTTGATAACTTAGTCTGAATTTTAGAATTAGTTGGAAGAAATTCCAAACGATAAGAGTGTAAGCTATTAATTTAATGTTATTCTAGCAGAATTTAGCCAACGGGGCATCAAGGTAATCAAAGTGTTAAATGACTCTCAATATCCTCCCATGTTCTCATTGTATATTGTAAGCATTTTGTCACCCAGAGTCTTTTTAGTAAAACATAATTCATAATTAGTCATAATTTAGCTATTTTCAGGAATTTTCTAACCTCAAAGTATGCAAAACCTGTAGGCAAAACATTGCACGGAAACAGTTATTTGTAAACAGACTCATTGACACTTCCACATCACCACATGCAATACTGAATGCAAATAAATCTGCCCAATGCACATGCATCAGTTTGGATCCATTCCTGCAGCCCCATTTCTACCACTTCAAATAATAATCACCTAATAGAAGCAAATAATAATCATTAAATTTACATAAAGATACATTTCAAATTTTAGACTTAAGTTTAGTTGCAGCTTGTCTGAGCTGTGGAATTACTGCTCCCAACACTAAACTTAGTCATATGTGGTATGTCTAATCCTGAAGCTAAATTAATCATGCCAACTCATATTTACATATTCCTTGTTTTGTTTTTTATTGCTCTCTGAACGATAAACAGTAATTACATTTTCAATGAAAAGATGAAAATACACTTCAACATTTAACTTCAAATTTTACATAAAGATATCCATTTAGGTGACATCTTACAGCTGTAGCACGGTACAGCCAGAAAGGGAAACAGTACTGTACCTCGGCTGACAGCTAAGCACTGACATTAGATGTTTGCATCTCATTTGTTTACCGTGTTCTTTATTTACAATACAGTAATTACAGACTTTAATGAGTTATAAATAATATCAATATTGTACTTCAAAGAGCTGAGGCATGGATTTTATGTTAAAGTAATCAACTGTGCTCAAACTACAGGTACTCCTCGACTTACGATCAACCGGACATGACCGCCGCAGTCATACCAATTTTTTTTTCAAATTACGTATTTTCGAGTCCCGATGTTAGTGATTGCGCTGTGTACTGACAAAATTTTCGTTTGTAATTCCCTTTAAAATGGCTGGCAAGCTTAAAAGTGAGAGTTTTGTGGTGCTGAGAAGAAAAAGAGACACCCATTTTAGATTTCCTATGTATTATTTTTGCATTTTCGACTTACGACCTGGATTTGGGTCCCTAACCCCGTCGTAAGTCAGGGACTGCCAGTTTACTGTATACGGTCTACATATTGTAATGCTGAGGTAAGAAAACATTTATCAATTTTATTTTTCTGGTTATGATTCATCTGCACACACTCTAATTTGAACTGTCATGACCAGCCACTCTTTGTTCATATGAAGACACGTAATATACATGGGGGCCCCGATTTACGAATGCCCGTCGATACGAACGAGGTTAAACTTTAAATTTACAGTATCTTATTTACTTGACTTATTTTTTACTTTCATTTACTGTATTTTGTCATTCTATTTCTTCTTTTCTCTTAAATTAAGTGATCTTAGATGTAAGTATATAAGGCCTTAGGGTATAATATAGTGGGATTTCAATCATTGTTCTGTACACTAAGCACATAGCATGTGTTTCGACTTACATACAGTGGTCCCTCGGTTAACGAGATTTCGATTAACGAGTTACCTTCCATAAGATTCTTAACTTCGGTTAACGAGCAATCCCTCGATTAACGAGTTTCTTACGAGCCAGCCTCAACATGTTTTCGCTTGCATTTGGCGGTCCACCTGCTGTAGTATTAGTCAGCCAATACAGCAATCGGTTCTAGGGCTTATATTCCTTACCATTTTAGTAAATATCAAGAAGTTTATACTATTCAATAATTTTAAGGGTTTAATATTAATTTCTTTAGTCATTTTAACAATTATTGAACATAATTAAAGGTAAGGAAACTAGTTTTATGCTCGCCAACCAGTTTGTCAACACACCAAACAGGCGTCAGTCTTTGTGTCTTTTCAGTGGAGGTAACATCTTGCTTGAGACTCTCTTCAACTAAACGCTTTTTTTCTGTGTTTGCAAGCAAATTATTGGTCATTTTGAAATTTATTTTACATATTGACAATATATAATGCAGTGCAGTGTTGATTTAAAGAAAATAATCTTGAATTACACCAAGAGAACTAAAATTTTATGGGTGAAATGGCACCATGGGGTGACTTCTCTTCCACCCCCATGCCTTCTCTTCTCCCTTCTCCTCCACCCCCATTCTAATTCCCATCATCATCATCATCCCGGAGCCTTCTATATACACACCTCAAAGTAAGTGTACTTTTCTATCTTTTTTGTTGAATTTAGGCAATTTTCGGTGAGCTGGAACCAATTACCCAAAAACCCAT